ATAAAAATAATGCCTATGTGAAATGAGGATCATTTTCGAATATGATTTACGATAAACGGATACGATTAAAAGATCCTCTAAATCCTCATAAAGAGGATCCTCATTCATCTATGTGTACCACATATTTCTACAAACAAGTCCACACTTATTTCATTCGAAGATTTCCTACAAATTCTCTACTTAATTGTGGTGGCAGTCAGAGCGGTGGTAGCGCAAACAATGTCAGGTTTTTTGTTGTTGTTTTTCAAACTCCTACTCGTGAAAATTTAGAAATAACAATTATCCAAATTTTATAAATACGATGACAAATTGACAATTATAAGGCGAGCCAAGCTCATTCATTGAACTTCACCTTGAACAAAGGCCCCTTCATAAAAAGTATGTCCTATAAAATCATGCTATTTATATAGCCAATTAAGGCGCGATCTTTTAAGGCCTCTTCACACGGAGTTCTAGCAATCAGAACATCTCCAAGTTGCTATAACATCTCCAAAGTCCTATAAAATCATGCTATTTATATAGCCAATTAAGGCGCGATCTTTTAAGGCCTCTTCACACGGAGTTCTAGCAATCAGAACATCTCCAAGTTGCTATAACATCTCCAAAATGTCCTACATAAATTTTGAGAAATTTAGGGTATGTTTGGTACTTTAATTGAATCAGGGAGCTTAAGGGGAGGGATCCCTATTTTTTCAAAAAAAATGGGGACACGCTCCCCACCGTTAGATTGACTTTAATGAAATTGTGTGGTTGAGATTAAAACACAGGCCATAGAATCTCAACCACAGGATTTCATTTAAGTCAAATCCAATGGTGGGGAGCGTGTCCCCATTTTTTTGAAAAAATGGGGATCCCTCCCCTTAAGTAATTCCTTAATTGAATATAACTTTTTAGGTTCGAAAAACACTTATTAAGTTTTACACTTTAAATACTTGTTTGGTAGAACTGTTTTAAAAATTAATATCAAAATTAAAGTGAAAATTAGCATACTTCTACCAAAAAAAAAACTCCAAATCCACTACTTCGATCTCTCCTCTCTTCTCATCCCCGATTTTTTTCTCTCTTTATCCTGTTGTACTCTCTTATCCTCCAAATGTCTCTTTCCTCCCTCCTCCCTTGAATCTCTCTCTCCTTCTCTCCTCCCCTCCTCCCCTCCTCCGAATCTCTCTTCTATTTTTCTCCTCTCACTGCTCTTTCTCCTTCATCTCTCTTTTTTCTCTCCTCCCACTCTACTGTTTCCCTCTCCTCTTTCTCTCTAATCTCCCTCTCATTCGACTCTCTTTTTGGATATCTCTTTCTGTCAAATTGAATTGTATAATAACTTCCAAATTGATGGGAAATTGTTGTAGCATAGTTTTTCTTTTCTTTCTAATTATTAAAATATGAAAATAATTTTGAATCTCATAACAAATAAGTTTTTGAATCTTAAAAAAAATTATTCTTAAAAATATATTTTTAAGAAATATTTAAGAAATTCTGACATTTTTTTAATACAATACCAAGCCCCTTAGAATGCTACGACAGTTTCGTGATACTTGTTTATATACATAAGATGATTTTTTATATAGAGAAATTCGCATAACAAATCAAAAGCTGTAAATAAAAGTTTTTCATTTTGGTAAAATTCGATTGTTGAGCTTTCGCAAGATATTTTCCATGCACAGTAAAGTATATGTCATAACTCATTTGCATTGATCTGACCATTTATTAAGTTGCACAGGAACCTCTATTTGAATTGATCTTAAAACAGAAGGGAAAAAACATTAGGAATTTTAACAAAAAGCTTTCAGTATTGTTTATTTTAACGAAAAATTATATTTTTACACTAAAAAATCAATCTCAGTACTATTCATTTTATTCTTATCATTAAAATTCAAAATTTTCAAATATTTTTTTATTAATTTTCCAAAAAAAAATTATTATAACGGCCTAGAATGTATCTCTAGTTTCTCACCGTAACCTTTCTAGTTTTCCACGCTCTCTTTACTTTTCCTCTTACACTGTAGCTAAGGTTTTGTACGATGTTGATTATTAGGGTGGCAACTTTTCTCCGGATCAATTGAGTTCTTACTTCAAGTATCTCTAAACAGATTCACACACACACACACATATATATATACATGTTCAAAACCTTTTCATTTCTCTTTTATTGTGCAACGTTGTATAATGATCAAAACCATTTATTTTGGGTAAGAGCTGAAAAGGTAAAACAAGAAGATTTGAGAAGATTAGCATCCTCATACATCTAAACTACCTATTAACAAAATTTTCTTTATCAATTTAGCATTTTATCACAAAATAAAATCATAGACAATAATATAATTTACCTCAAACCAAATTTGTTGTTTTTTTTCTATTCTTAACCTTCAAAGCATAACCTTCCTCTTCATTTTTTTTTTATTTTTAATTTTTTTATTCACACACACGTGGACTACATTGTAGCCAAAAATTTATCCCTTACATAAATGTACCACTACCCCATAGAAAACTACGTACTTAATTATCTATTCTTTTACAAGATTGGACTGGACGTGGTGTGACTGCACTGGCTGGTGTCAAATCCTACATATTTGTTCTTGAAAATGAACGTGCAAAATATGGCACCCTAACTGGATGAGTAAAAGCCTCAGAGGGCCTTCTACTTTTCCAGTTGAAATGGAAGCCAAAAACCTAAAAAGATAGAATGGGATAATTACTTTGGTTGGTTCCTCCTCCCCCACCCAAGTGGACGAAAAGTCATTTCTCAGAGGGTTCTTAATTATCTTTCCAGTTAAAAAAGATAATTAAGAATCCGACAAAATATGATCAGAAGCAACTTATTGAAACCTTCAGAAAATATTACATAAAATCTGATTGAAGACCTAGAAATTACACACAGCAGGATTACCTGCTCTCTCTCTCTCTCTCTCTCTCTTAATTAACTTTTGGAGTTTATTCTTGTTACATGTGAATTGTGGCGTAATGGGGAGGACATTAATTAGACTCTCTTACTTAATTAACTTTTGAGTTACAATGTGAATTGTGGGGATGGGACATTAATTAGACACAAATTTATTCAACAGACATTTTAAATGTTGTCCCTAACTATTGATATTATTTGACTAAAATTTTGTTGGTATTTAACTTTTCATCGAAATCCTTGAAATTAATGTAATAATGTATTTCTACGTAGGTTACTATATTTTTTAAATTAAAAATTAAAATTTATAGTTGTTTGTATTAATGAGATTTTAAATACAAAAACCCATAATTTGTGGATTAAAATTATTAAAATATAAATTATACTCTCCAATATGTTGTGTGTGTGTATATATAAACATGGGTACATTCATGAAAATTAACAAAAAAAATTATTGTACCAAAATATGGTACATTCTTCAAAATCACAAAAAAAAAAAGATATTAGGCTTAATAACATTAGTAAATTTCTTCGATTAAACTTGATATGAATACATTTTCAAATCAAGAAAAAGAATGTACCTATATAAGTTAAAAAATGGATTAGAAAAAAAATTGAATAGAGTTTATATAAAAAAAGGGTACATTTTACATACAACAAATTGGTACATTTAAGAATAAGAGCTATTAATCCTACCCCCAATCCTATTTCCCCACCCCTTTATTAATTTATTTTTAATGACATGTTTACCCCCTATGTCAAATGACGTAAATACCTAAATAATCTAGAACCCTTCTCTCTCCCTCCTCTTTCAAACCTCTTGCAGTCCAGCTCCACTCTCTAGAACTCGCATCCCACGAATCTTCTTATCCATAATTCTAACCAGTTTCTTCTCTTTGTTTCTGCAAAACCCATAAAGACCCAATTTCTTTGAATTCATTTTGTTGTTAGTTGCTTTGGTATAATTGAAAGAAAAAAAAAAGTGAAAAATTGAAAATTTAGAAGAAAAACGGAGAGCCCAACAACCAACTCCCCACATCCATGAGCTACCAACCCCATCCAATTTGATGGCAGCCATCCTCCACCGGCTTGACACTTCAACCTAAACTCCTTCCTCCATCTCAATCGAACTCACAAATAATAAAACTCAACTTCAACCGTGGATGTTGTTGTGGATGTCGCTCATCCTCCTCCTCCTAGTCAAAATGGGCCACGTCAAGGCCTTCCCCTCCAAATTTCCAGAAAAAATTGTTTCTGGTGGGAAGGGAGGTTGTTGTCGAATTGCGTTAGATGATGTTAATTGTATCTAGGATATTTCTGGAATAAAAGTGGGTGAAGAGAGAGTATTAAGTATTTTTAACTTTCTACGGTGGGTGAAATTATAAAGTGGGTGAGGAAATAGGACAATTAGGTGGGTCTAGTAACACTTTTATGAATTGGTACATTTTAAGATTAAAAAAATTTAAAAATTACATGAATGGGTACGTATAAGATTAAAAAATTGGAAACCCTTTTATAAAAAATAAGGGATACAAACTTATTCTATTTTTTTTTTTACTTTGGAAATGTTTTGAATTGAAAATTGGTTAGGAGTTCAATAAATGTGTGAGATTAAAATCCTAAATTAATTATTATTTTTATTTTAAAAATTATGTAACTGACGTGTATATTCATTATTGTATTACAACTAAGAATTTTGGTCAAAATCTGAAAACTAATAAAATTTCAGTCAATAAACATTAGTAACTAAAAATCGGATACTAATTTTTCCTTTATTCAATCAACATACATATGGATGGAGGAGTTTTGGGAAGCCATTTAAGAACCCCATGAAATCTGATCAGATGCAACTTGAAACCTTCAGAAAATTTTATATAAATTCTGATTGAACAGCAGGAAAATTACTTAATCAAACACACACAGTAGGAGTACCTTCTCTCTTTCTCTCTCTCTCTCTCTCTCTTAATTAACTTGTGAAGTTTATTCTTGTCTTGTTACAGCATCATGAAAGTACGTAATAGTGGCCTAATGGGGAGAATATTAATTAAGCACATTTATTTGATTAACATATATGGATGTAGGAGTTTTGGTTAGCTACTGGCTAGCGTCTTCTAGCTGCACTTTCTCTCTGCGCATTGAAGTAAACGGCAGCGACAGGAAGACCCAGGTCATTTTCAGCGGCGAAGCTTCGAGTGCTGAAGCAATCCCTTGAGGAAGGTATGTTGATTGATTGTCTTCGTTTCTGCTTGAAGAGAACAAACACAAACCTGTGGATGCCAATGTTGGGCCTTGGCATCTCATAGCTCAGCGCCTCTCTTCCTGTTAATACAATTAATTAAAGTGTTCTTTACACATAAGACCTGTGCAATTCCTGTTTCTTAAACAAAAACTCATATAATATTATCAACATCCGAATAAAACACAAATTTAAAATATGTTACCATGTAGATAGATAAGTGACATATTTTTTTAATTTTTTTTTAGCAAACGATATTATTCAAATTAAGGAGAACGATGTGAGCTAAATCTCATAATAGGTTAACAATGATGTGATTCAAACTAGTCTTTGATGAGAATCGTTAAAACCTCTCACTTACAAATAGAGATGAATGATATTAGACTGTAATACTAAGTGGTAAATAAGTGACCTATTATCACAAAATATTTATAATTTATGCCACAACAGTACCAATCGTGTCAATCAAATAACATTCATATATTTTGTAAGTAAATCATTTTGCATGTATTGTTTTATTATTATTATTATTAGTATTATTATTATTTTAACCTAATTTACCTATATTTATATCCAAAATATAGATGAATGAATTTGAATCAATTAATATTCTTTTATTTTTTAGATAAATTATTTTGCATATATTATTACACATATACAAGACAATTTTATTGTTAATATATATGCTAGTTGAAGCCACACATTGTGTATGTGTAAATATAATTTTTTTTTAATATATGGAAAATAGAAAGAAATTGTCTTTTCACCTTCTTTTGGTTGACAAAAAGAATTTTGTTAATAAGTAGTTTAGATATGTGTGTAAATAATTTAGCTATATTTTGTAAGTAGATTATTTTGGACATGTATTAGTCAATTGAAAGAAAAGAAAACACTAGCCACTTAGTACTACGGTCAAGTGATATTTTTCTTCACTTGTAAGTGAGATATCTTAAGTTCGATTCTAGCCAAAAGTGAATTTGAACCACATTATTGCTAGCTTATTATGAAGCTAAGCCCACTCCTTGCCCCTTAATGTAGATAATATTGTTTTTTTTTAAATAAAAAATAAAAAACACTAAGAATGCTCTTATGTAGGACTTACCAAATGCGGCATCTGTGGTGCCTGGAATGTCTGTCACAATCCTGTTTAGTTCAGATTAGAGAAATTTGTGTTAGTTTTGTACTTGACAACTTTCCCTCTTTATAGCTCTTTTTGTTTCATTTTCTCATATGAAAAAATAAATAAATAAACAAGGACAAAAATACGGTGCATAGGTGGTATAACAGGTACAGATCGCACACTCTAATTTTTGTTAGTTTTGTACTTAACAATTTTTCCTTCTTTATAGCTCTTTACAGTTTGAAGCTTCGGTTGATGCTTAACAAGTACATAAGGACGCTGTAATATTGCCGACAGGTTTTTTCATCATCTTTTTGATGAAAATGCCTACATGTTTTTGGGGCTTTTGGAAATGATGGTACTTCATGAGAACACTGTAATTTTTGTTTGGTAGTTTTGTACTTAACAATTTTCCCTTCTTCATAGCTCTTTACAACATGAAGCTTTGATTGATGCTTAACAAGTACAGAAGGACTCTGTAATATTGCCGACAGGTTTTTTCATCATCTTTTTTATGAAAATGCCTACATGTTTCTAGTGCTTTTGGAAATGGCGGTACTTCATGAGAATATATATATAGGCATTACTGTATCTAGGTTAACCTTCCACTTTAAAGCGAGGTTAAGTAATTTCATAGTGTTTAACCCAAAATAAAGCGAGGTTAAGTAATTTCATAGTGTTTAACCCAAAATAAATAAATAAGGAGAAATCAATTCACAGTGCAGGTGCTCCATTTAGATAAGGATCACTAGGTTCAGCATTTATACCAGTGCAGGTGCTCCCTTAGATAAGGGTCACTAGGGCCGGGACAATCTGGGTCTGTCATCACCTGCAAGATTAAGAAAACTATCACAGGACTTCAAAACAATAACATCATCAAATTATATGCCAGTAAGGGAGACTTAGGGTTAGGGAGTAATACAACGATGGTAAAACATAAACAAGAACTAATCAATTCATTAATAACAGATTAATATTTACCAAAGTAAAGAAAGATCTCAACTCCCCTCCTTGAATCTCAACTCTAGGTTTGGCTGTGACAACAGAAGGAAAGAGCTCAAGTCCATTGCAGACTAGCTTGGCGTTGTAAGTAACAGACATGTGTGTTGTTGGAGTGAAGGAATCAAGAACATCTCCTATCACTCTCCCAACAACTAGAGGCTCCGGGACTCTTGCCATTTTAAGAGAAGAGAGTAGTACTTCTTATATTGCTTGGAAGTGGAATCCTTGTATGGTGTATTTATAGTGTTTTCATGTACACAACGAGCTACTTACTTTAGATCTCTAGCTAATATGTGTTTTGAGAGAAGAAGAGAAGAAGAATAGTATAAAGGAATATTATAATATGGATGTCTAAAATACATTGCTAGCTACTCTCCCCAACTTCCCACCCTTCTTTCTCTATGTCACGTCAAGAGTTTTTAGTGGTTTGCTTTCATTCTTATATGTTTAATGGCTGAATTAAATTGAGTGTATAAATCCCTTTTTGAGAGGACTCACCGTTGTAAAAATTAGAGTATTTAACTCAAATATTAAGTGGTCAATTCTACATTCTATTATATTTTTCTCCACTTGTAAATGGAATTCTTAAGTTAAACTCTTATATGACGAGCTCGATATCAAATTAGTGCTAACCTATTGTGTGGGCTAGACAAACTTCATCAGACAATATCGTTGTGTGTATAAAAATAAAAAGAAAACTCAAAATTAAGTGCAATGCTTGTATGCAATAATTTATACTGCTTATACACAACGTAATTAAAAATTAATCAGAGAAATGTTATACACATTTTATACACATAATGTATGCAAGAATATTTTTTTTTAACATGTGTGGAGCCAAAAATAATTTTAAAAATCTTGGAGACGACATGTGAATTTTTTCCTGAAGAAGACAATAATGCCCTCATTAAATGGGCAAGGCCCCCAAATATTGCCGTGTGCAGTTCAACATCCATAGAGGCTTAAGCAGCTGACTACGACATCACCAAGCTCCTTTGCTCGTGTATGGAGGAAAAGTCAAAGACATTAAAATATGATTAATTTGCTAAAAAAAGGATTAATCACCCAACCCTATCATTAATACGTTCCTGATTGAAGATCAACTCAAACAAGTAAGGAATTAATCCTCATCACAATTAATCAAGGATACTTATCATCCCAATATATTATCTTCTAATTAATATCTTTGGGATTATTATTTCCTCTTCTATCCTACGGATGGCAGTAGCCAGTGGGAAGGTGCCACATGTAGGGAAAAACCCAACCATTTCTGCCACCTCCCTATAAATAGCTCATCTCCACCATTTTCTAGTAAGCTTTTGCCACACATACAAACTCCAAAATTCTCTCTTTTCAGAGAAACTGACTTAGGCATGAGAGATTTATTGGCCATACCCTCCTCCCTCACCTCGTGAGCACGTATGGCTTTGACATTGATCAAATGTGTTTATTTGTCTTGTAGATACAAATTCATCTATTTGTCTTGTAGATACAAATTCATCTATTTGTCTTGTAGATACAAATTCATCCTGACTGAAGATGATAGATTATGCTACCACAAGATTGATGGATTTTGCTACCACAACATGCATATTATACTTATGTTTTGTGTGATCCGACCCTCTATATTTGTGTGTGCCTCCCATATTAATTGGGTCCCTTGAAATTTTTTTTTTTTTGAAACAAACGATATTATCTACACTAAGAGAAGGGAGTGGGTTTAGTCTCACAATTGGCTAGCAATAATGTGGTTCAAATTTTCCTTTTGTGAGAATTGAACCTAAGACCTCTCACTTACAAGTAAAGATATTTAATGTTACTAAACCGTAGTACTAAGTGATGGATCCTTGGAATTAGTTCTTGATTGGTTGTAAACCTAATTATTGAATATTTTGATCAAAAAATAAGGGGGATGTTTTTCCTTAGTTAGGCCAGAAAATCATTATATAATCCTGCAACGTGGGGGTCCTACTTTGTCATAGCTGTCAAGTCTTACCAATATATTTTATAAAAACAACATAAAGTAATTAAAAACAACAAATTGCCTAGAATTATTCCTGAACATTCACAATCTAAACAAGGAAAATCTTATCTTTTGCAGTTAGGGTAACGAAAATTTTGAAATGGAAATATACTGTTGAATGGATGCATAATGTACACGGGTTTTTATCATTTTCAGAGATTCTTTCTTTTAAGATATCTCTTTTAACTTTTTAAGCGATGAGTCACAAGAGCATAAAGGAGCTCCACCTGCTCTCTGAGTGCCTCCTGCCAAGCTGCTAGTAGTGCTGAGAGGGCATCTCAATGACTCAAAGAAGCAAAAGCAGAGAATTCAAAGAACTTCCCAGATTGGCAATGAGAGGAGGTAGCGAATTTTCCATAACTAGCCAAATTAGTACTTCTGTTTTGTATTTTTTTTCTGTATATCACACATGTACCTCATCTGGAAATGTTTTTACTTTCCATAACTTGAAGCCAAAGTACTTTTGTTTTTCTTTCTACTGCATGCACCAGCACAGCACCACACCATGTTTTCTTTAATCCCTTTATTTCTTTGGTGGTTTATTTAATTAATTAATTTCCTCTTTTTCTCCTCAGGATCGATTCTTTGCTATATTGTTCCCTGTATTATATAATTACTTAAGTTGGAGGAGACCTTCATATAGTTTGTTTATCACTATCTATACCTTTTTGTATGAATTATATGATGAACGTATGGAACCGCAATCTGTCTTCTCGTCACATTCCAGTCACAATAACGGGATGTAAAAGGAACAGTAAATGGCAAAAGGAGAAATTAGGTTAACATCTTTTTTTTTGCTACTCTATTGATTAAAATCCTATTCATTTTCAATTTTTTATCAGGGTCATTGGTATTAATAACATCATTAATTATTTGAATAATAAAATTATTTTATTTTTAAATATATTCCTTTAGTGTTAAAAATGTTACAATTAGTATATTTATATTTATGGCTAAATTTTTATCATATATTTTTATTTTTAGTTTGTATCTATTTTTAATTTTTACCCATATATTAGTTTCTTTTTGTACCCATAATTTTTAAAGTTTTATTTGTGTTTGTACCCATGTGTATTGTAACATCCTACATCGCCCAGATGTGTGAATCATGTAAGCCTTATATGTATATTCTCATCTCTACCTAGCATGAGGCCTTTTGGGAGCTCACTGGCTTCGGGTTCCATCAGAACTTTGAAGTTAAGCGAGAAAGGGGTCAGAGTATTCTCAAGATGGGTGATCCAATGAGAAGTTTTGCTCGCGTTAGTTCCTAGAAACAAAACTGTGAGGACGTGATGTCACATCCCGGCTCAGGTCCCCACCACATCCTGGCCTCAACTTCGCCATAGCACGATATTGTCCGCTTTGGGCCCCGACCACGTCCTCACAGTTTTGTTTCTAGGAATTCACACGAGAACTTCCCAGTGGGTCACCCATCATGGGATTGCTCGCGCGCGAACTCGCTTAACTTCGGAGTTCTGACGGAACCCGAAGCCATTAAGCTCCCAAAATGCCTCGTGCTAGGTAGAGATGAGAATATACATATAAGGCTTAGAGAATCCACTCATTTGGGTGATGTGTGATGTTACACTTGGTCGGGGCCCAAAGCAGACAATATCGTGCTACGGCGGAGTCGAGCCCAGGATGTGGTGGAGCCCAGGTCAAGATGTGACAATTAGGTATCAGAGCTAATCCCTGGCTGGGGGTGTGTCGATGAGGACGTTAGGCCCCTAAGATGGGTGAATTGTAACATCCCACATCGCCCAGGCGTGTGGATCCTGTAAGCCTTATATGTATATTCCCATCTCTTCCTAGCACGAGGCTTTTTGGGAGCTCATTGGCTTTGGGTTCCATCGGAACTTCAAAGTTAAGCGAGAAAGGGGTCAGAGCATTCCCAAGATGGGTAACCCACTGGGAAGTTTTGCTCGCTTGAGTTTCCATAAACAAAATCGTGAGGGCGTGATCGGAGCTCAAAGCGGACAATATCGTGCTATGACAGAGTCGAGCCCGGGTCGGAATGTGACATGTATACCGTCACGTGACATTGTATATTTAATCAATGATAGAAATATTACATATGGTATATTTATGTTTTATGCCTAAACTTTGTATCATATATTTATATTTTTAGTTTGTACCCACTTTTAATTTCCAACATTTTTTTTAAATATGTGGTATTTTCTTTTTAGTTTTATTTTGTACCTATGTATTAATTTCTTTTAGCGCCTATATTTTTTAAAAATTCATTTGTACTCAAATTTTTTTAATCTTTTATTTGTACCCTAATTTATTTATAATGTACCACTTTGTTATATGTGAAATGTACCAATTTTTTTAACACTATGGATATATTCTTTTGCCATTTATTATTTCTTATTTTTACATAGTTTTTATCGATTTATTCAATCAAAATGTTTGAATATTTTTATTGTAACCGTTTCTAATAGTATTATAATGAGGGATTTTAAATTTATAGGATTTTAAATCTCATAAAATATCAAACAATTAATGTCAAAACTATAAATATTAATTGTAATATAATGAGGTGTACAAAGTCAATGGACTTTGATCAAACTTTAAATACTATTAAGGTTTTAGTCAAAGAATGTTAAGGATTAAAAACAGCATCCAAAGTATCCCATGACAAAATGATTCTCTTAACTTTTAATGTAATGAAGAATGATTTAGGATTTAAGCCAAAAAAAAAAAATAATTACGGTACTCTTTAAATTAAATGGTACTATACTACTCTTATTTTAATAAAATTATCTCATCAAAATTTTTTTTACCATCTCATAAGAATTGTGAGGTATAGAATAATATTGTTCACTACTTAACCAATGTTGACGGAAGTTATTATTAGTGAACGTTATAAAATTACGCCTTATTATTATTAGAGAGCTACTAGACTCACCTCATTGTCTTATTTTCCCACCCATCTTAAAAAGTTTAAAAATTAAAATGCTATTTCCCCACCCACTATTATTCCCAAAATAACCTTTAATATATACATACATATGAAATTATAAAATTGTCTCTTAAATAAAAAAACAAATAGTAAGTAAATGAAAACCACTAAGGTCTGCAAATTCAAATGGAAACGACAGATGTATCCAAATTCAAAAGAATTCGACAACAAAAAATTAAAAATTACGATGGACAAATTCAAATGACCCATACACAAATTATTCTTCTACCTTTTAAAACCCCTTTGGGCATGGTCGGGGTACCTTTATCTCTCAATATCAATTGAATAATGGAAACATAATCTTCTCTTCTCAAAAAAAATAAAATGGAAACATAATCTTCTACCTCTTCCGTAGAAGTGTCATCTTCCACCTATTCTATGAAAAAGTCATCTTCTAAGTCCATTGATATTTTTTTACTTTCTCAGAACAAAAGGAGATGAAAATATGAGTTAGGGTTTTAAGGTAGACAAATCATCTCCCACACCCAACCTTTTTTCTTTAAAAAAATTAAGCAAAACAAGATAATTAATGTCCTTATTAGTCTTTTTGCAAATGGACAAAATTGTAATTAAAATTTTCATTAAAAGGTGGTGGGAAGATAAGACATTGGGGTGGGAATAACATCACTCTTATTATTATTATTATTATTATTATTATTATTATTATTATTATTATTATGTTTTTTACCTTCATGTTCAATAGGATGATAACATGACGTGGATATTCAATATCTGAAGTACAAGAAGGTAATGTCTCTTCAGCCAAGGGCTAGGCCACTTTCAATCTAGATTTGTGCAAAACTCATCTCCAGTTAAAAGGCCAAAAATGTCATGCTCAAGACTTGAGGTCGGTGAAAAAATGAATCCCGCGCCCAGTGCAAGAGTAAAAATGAAAAAAAAAAAAATGATATACGGTGTTGAAAATAAATTCCACTCTCATGAAGATAACTCTCATAATTCTTACAAGTGTACAAAAATAATAAAATCCTATCCCGCTCTTTTATAACAATTTCAAACCATCTGCTCTTTGTTCATCTTGTACCGAACCTGCAAGGACTAAAATGTAAAGGGTGAGTGAAATCACAACTCGGTAGGGATATAAGTCTTATCAGTGATAAATGTCAAGGCTAACCAAGTGTGAGGCAACACGCAATTCAATTGGACAATGTTAGGGTAACCAAATTTGCAAACCAAGTTTATGTGTCACGAATAAGAGATAAGCATGTTAACCGACACTTAATTAATAATCCAATCATCTACAACCACATCATTTAGTTTGCAAATTTGGTTTCCCAAGCATTACCCAATTTAATTATATCATGTTATCAAATATTAACATCATAAATTATATTTTATGAATGCAACTCAATTTCAATTAGCCAACTCGTTAATCTATATAATAAACAAGCTGAGAGCTTTTGCTTGACAAATAATTGAGACACAGAAAAAAAAATCTATATAATAAACAAGCGGACTTACACGTTGTATACCATGCATTTATCACTACATGGATGGTTTGAGTGCTCTATTATACAAATTAACCCTTGTAACACAATCATCTCAGTTCGCTTTTGTTAGTCATCTTGTTCTTCTTTTGATCACTAGAGTGTCTACTACTTCATACCATTCCTATAATTTCAATTTTGTTGTACTTGATGGTCCCTACAAGAGTTGGACTCCACCACACAAAAGGATATTTTCATATCCCCATATCTCGAATAAACCAATAAAATCCATCAGCTCTAGTATGAAGTGATACATGCATATAATCAACATATCATGGTATCCACATTATTGAATATAACAAATAATATATCAAAGTTTCAATGTAAATAATTAAACCACTTATAAACATACCAAGTATAATGTATACTTAAACAAGACAAATACCCTAATGTTGATAAGTTTTCCAAAAAAAAAAAAAAAACTCTTCAAAACTAACGTTGTGCCCAAATGCCAAACTCCAAGACCTTTGAGAAAACTCCTTGATCACTCCTCACGTCATGTAATACTTTATACTACAAATGAAGACGCCAACACTAGCCTCTAATTGGTTTGGCTTCGGTGGCTACAGATCAAAACGAAATGAACTTTAATGACACTAATCTAAATCCTCCTACAAGCTAATGTGTGGTGATGTAAATCGACATTGGATTGACAAGTGGCACCCCATATATGAAGATATAATACAAGGCACGTCCAAATAGGTAGAGATAGTCATCATCTAAAATGGTTATGGAAGTCTATAATCACTATAATATTGCCACAACCCCTCAACTGACTCATAAGTCTACAGGAATTTCTTAAAGGGATTTAATTGATAAGCTAAAGTAGATAGGCATGCTAACAACTACAAGGTTGTTTCGAACTTTCGATACCACGCTGCCTTTTCCTATAAAATCCAATCAACTCAAGAAAACATATGCATGTATACATACTGTTGAAATCCCACATTGGCTAGAGAAGGAAACAAATAAGAATTTAAATATCCTAACTCCATTTTAGCTAACACCAAGGTCTTTGGTGATAAAATCTCACACCTAACAGATTGTGTAGGTGGTAATTACCAAGTTGAGGATAGTATCGACGTTGTTGGAGTTGGGCCCTCGGCCAGTCTCTATGATAGTTCAACATGGTCTCAGAGCCAGGGAGCGGGCCCGTTCTGTACTACCACGTGATGGGTGGATCCCCTTGGCACCGCATGTAGGGTGAGTCCCTTTGGCTCCACGTGGTTGCGGATGTGTAGATCTCTCACGTGTGACCCACCAATTAGGTTCCATGTGAGGGGGCATGTTGAACTCCCACATCGGCTAGAGAA